TAGCAGTCAAATCTCTTAAGTACTGCATCATCAGGGCTCTTTATCCAGCTCACACTACACCTGTAATTCAAACTCAGGACTCCCTACCAAACCTCACTCTGTGCTAATATAGCCCCCCCTTCCCGGTCTTCCCACCTGTCCTTGACCTGACTTATTCTCCCTCCCTCTGTGCAGAAAGCACTGTCAGAGTCAGGGTTAGGAAGGCATCTCGGGCCACAGGCACTGCTGGGGCTGTGTCACAGCAGGCAGGGCAGGATGGGAATTTTTCCCAGGAGCTCAGCTCCAGGTTACAGTGGCAGTGCTGATGACCAGGAGCAGACCAGCTGTGACCTGGGCCACCATTCTAGCCTGTAGGGTAGGGGTGAAGTAATGAGGAGGGGTCACACACAACTCTCCCTGCCTCTAGCTCTTTCATCTGTTGGTTTAGAGGGGACAATCCTGGAAGGTTTCCAAATGGAGATAAGGGTGGAGGCCCTGAAGCCCAAGGGCCTTGTACACACACCACCTGATCCCTCAGCTTTTCATCCCTCTTTTTTTGAGAGCTGACCTCAACACCCCCAAGACAAAGGTGAAGAAACTTGAGGCAAGGGCTGTGTCTTTCTCATCAACCCCACCCTTGCAAGCAGACAAACTTGGGGTGGGCGTGGTCTGGAAAGGAACAGAGTGCTTACCCTGGGGCCCAGCACTGGAATGAGGATGTCTGTTACCTGGAAGTCTTCATCATGGCTGGTAACTGGGGTTCACCCCAGGCTTGGTGGGCAGAGAAGGGGAGAGGGAACCTGGAGCCACAGTTCTGCCTTCTTAGGGGCAAGGAGGGAGCTCTGGTGGCATAGTGCCTAAGGCATTTGACTGCTAACCAGAAGGCTGGTGGTTCAAACCCACCAGCCTCTCCTTGGAAGGAAGATTGGGCTATCAACTTCTGTAGTGATAACGCCTGGGAAACCCAAGGAGGGGTCACTATGAGTCAGATCCAACTCCACGGCAGTGAGAAAAAGGGGTAAGGAGGCTGAGGCCAGAGTGGGTGGGGCCAAACCTCCCACCCCACTCTAGGTGCCGTCTCTTGCTGTCTCATGCCCTCCCTGGCCCAGAATAGGCAGTGTGTTATCCCATCTCTGGCTGAAGAGGAGTTGGGCTGTTGAGTGGACAGCCAAGTTTGAAAAGCCAAACCTTGAGATGCAGCTGCACAGGGGAGTGCCAGGCCCACCCTGGAGGCTGCAGGGAGCATTTCCTTGGGTGCACTGGTGATACACACTCACTGACGTTGAGTCATTTCCAACTCCACAACCCCTCCTTGGGTTTCCGAGGAGGTATCACTACGGGAGTGGATCACCCAGTCTTCCTTCTGAGGAGTGGTTGGTGGGTTTGAACCACCAGCCTTCTGGTTAGCAGTTAAATACCTTAAGCACTAGGCCACTGGTGGCACTAGATCCCCTACAAATTATTCTAGACTTCTGCAATCTTTGCTGCTCCAGAAAATTTCCAAATTCCTCTTGTTGTCTAACACCCACCACCATCACCACCGTATCCCTGCCCCTGGTCTTGCCTCCTCTCCTAGTGCAGGTGAAGTTCTATCTCTGGTGTCCTCAAGTACCTCCATCCCTTTCCTGCCCACTTAAGAAGCCTGTGTCTAGATACCCAGGGGAGAGATCAAATCTCAAAGCCCATCTGCCCAGTCTGCCCTGGGTGGGAGTGTTCTCACATGTTGCTAGGCCAGGCCTCCACCTTGGCTTCTGCTCTGGAGAAGCCGGACCTCCTCCAGTCTCAGCACTGCTGCCCCTTGGCCCCAAGAGACTGAGCCACCACGGCCCCCTCACTAGGCAGACCTGAGACTCCCCAGGTTCCATCAAGTGCCACTCACTCTCTTCCTAGTTCTTCAACCTTCCTCCCTCTCATTAGCGTTTAAATGTGTCCCTTTCTTTAAAAAAAAAAAATAATAATAATAATCCTATAATTTAAATTACCTTTTGAAGAAAGAACCCTCTCCCAGATCCATGAACTTTCTATAGGTGAATCTTCTTTTGTTGGAAAATATAATTCAAAACTATCAAATTTTGAAAAAATAAAATGAAAGATTTATTAAAATTAGCTTACTCTCTAGTAAAGCCTCACCAGCCATGCCTGGCACACCCAGGCTTTTGCACGGAGCTCTCTGCATGCTAGCATTGGCCCCATTTCCTCTCCACCCTCTCCCACTCAATCCACTGGGACCTGGCCCTGACCTCACTGCTCCCTTGAGGTAACTCCCACCCAAGTCCCTGCGTTGATTAACCCAGGGAATGCTACAGCTCAGACTGCCAACAGCACCTGGCCTTGTGGCTTCGTCCTGTTCCCCACACTCTCGTCCTTCCCTGGTTTTCCTCCTACTGCCCTGGCAGTGCTTTTTCTGCCATGCCCCTGGAATAAACCAGGGCTCTCCCCTGGATCTTAACCTGGGACATGTCCCCCACCCCCTAGCCCTATCCTGGCATGTATGTCCACCTGAATGCTTCTAGGTGGTTTAGTAGCCCAGGCAGGACTTGTCTCCTGAGAGCTTTGGACCTTCATACCCAGGTACCTCGGGTCCTCCCACAGGGCTGTTTCACAGGCCCTGACTGACACTCCTGCCCCCAAGATAGCTACTCTTGTTGCCTCACCCAACTGGCCTAGCTATCCCTAATCCTTTGACTCACATTGTATTACCAGATCCTAGCAGTTCTGTCCTAGGAATCTCGAGTCCGTCTGTTTCTTTCCATCACAAGCATGTAGCTTGACCACCATCATCATCTGTCTGGATGGCTGCAGCAGCTTCCTTGTGATACCCCTACCCCTGTGGCTCCTCCTCTGCCCTTTCTGCACACGGAGGCCAAGAGGGAGCTGCTGTATCTTGCTTCCCCTTCCTAAGCCTTTCCGAGGCTCCTTGGTGTAAGGCCAATGGCTTTCCAGAGCCCATGTGGCCTGCCTCTGCTGCTCCTTGGCCTCAGTCTCTAAACTTCAGTCACACTGCGATTCTTCCAATTTCTCCGGTTCTTCATGTCTCTTTTGATCCCTGGCCTTTCCATCTGCTGTTCCCTCTGCCCGAACATAGCCCCACCTCCCACATTCTCAAGCCTGTAATGTGTCTTTCTTACCCACCTTCATCTGCTAGGTTCCACACGACTGTCACTTCCTGTAGAGCCATACTGTCCAATATGGTAGCCACCAGCCACATGTAGCTTTGAGCACTTGAAATACGCTATTTCATATTGAGATGTGTTTTAAGTGTAAAAATACATACCAGATTTCAAAGGCTTAGCGCACACACACACACACACACACAGAACATAAAAGAGCTTATTAATAACATTTAAATTGATTTTACATTGAAGGAAAACTATTTTGGATATTACTGGGTCAAATAAAATATTCTATTAGTGTTATTAAAACTAAGTTCATTGTTTCTTTTTGGAGCCCCAATTAATGGTCTTGGCTGCTAACTGGAAGGATGGAGCTTGGAGTCCGTCCACCCAGACGTGCCTCAGAAGGAAGCCCTGGAGACAAGTCAGCCACTGAAAACCATACGGGCACAGTCCTACTCTGACACATAGTCGGCTGCCACAAATTGTAATTCACTCGATGGCAACTGGTTTATTGGTCTTTTTACTTTTTTAAAATGTGGCCGTTAGGATGTTTTACATGGCACTCATGGCTCACGTCCTGTTTCTGTGGACAGCACTGTCTTCACAGGCTCCCATGAGACCCACATGAGGTCAGGGACCTCCTCAGGACCATTGCTTCATGCTGCTGGCTTCCCACCTGCCAAGGAGCAGGTGCTGGGAGGGAGGGATGGTCTGTCCAGCGCACAGTACACAATCCAGTGCAGGACTCAAGAGCAGTTTGCTGAATGGACAGAGGACCTGGGGAGGCACAGGGGAAAGAAGCTCTCCACGACACCCACTTTCCCACCTTTTATTATTCAGTAAGTGGACGGGATGCGAGGACAGGACAAAAGCAAAGTTTCAATAAATAAGAGAAATGGGGTCACGGCAGTGGGCCCGCGCCTGCACGGCACCACATAAATAACCAGGTAGCTGGGCCAGGCAGTCACTCACGCTGCCCAGGTCTGGGAGACAGATGCACCAATGCCACAGAAACCACTGAGGCCAGAGGCACCTCTCCAGCCCTGTCATACTCTCCCCTACCCCAAAGCTCCTGAGATCTCGGGGGAGGGGGCAGCTGGGCAGACCAGGGCTCCTGCACCACAGCCCTGCCCAGGTCAAGTCTGTTTCTCCATTTTCATTAAAAATAGTGGGGAAGGGGGCAGGCACATGCATTAAGCCCCTTCTGTAGGCATAGTCATGTATGGAACAGCCCCACGGGGGCCTTGAAGGCAGAGGTCCCCACAGCAGGAGAAACGGGGCCAGAAAAAGCTACTAATGGGAGGAGATGGCAGAGAGTCAAGCTCATCTCCCACACTGAACCCAGCCAAGAACCTGCAAGTAGTTGGAGAGACCCTGGGCACCGAGACATCCTTTTCTCCCCACCTCACAGTCAAAAAGCTGGGACCCAGTGATGACCAGGGGCTTGTCCAGGATTAGAACCCAGGAACTCAGCCCCAGCCAAGGGCTTTTGGGTGCCCCTTCCCTTTACAGGACCTGCTGGAAGAGAAAGAAGAGATGCATCTACTCTGGGGCACCACAGAGAAGTAGGAGTGGGGCCATGGGTGCCAGAGGGCCCCTTTTTCCACCAAGGTTAGGCTCCCTGTTGTTACTCCTAGGAACTGGTCAGGGCAGGGATTGGGGCATCCTGCAGGGGAGAAATGGGGTGCCAGGGACCTGGGGTGGGCTCTTACTCCTCCTGCACACAGTGCCTGCTGGCTGGCCTGCCTCCTCACTAGGTGGATGGTCCCACCTCCAGGCCTTGGCCTTGTCTGCTGGGCTGTTGCTTCTTGGTCCTTACAGGCCCAGTTTGCAGCTCTGCCTCCTGCAGGAAGCCACTGACACCTCCCAGGGCAGGGCTGCAGTGTCCTCAGACTAGGCAGCCCTTCAGATGACCAGGTTGCTCTCACTTAGCCGGACCACATAGCGTGTCTCCTGGGGGACAGAGGTGAAGGTCAGAATTGAGTCAGGGGCCTTCTGGGCACCAGGAGAGTGGCCCTGTCCGGGGCCCCCAGTGTCCCCACACCTGTCCTATCTTCAGTCAGGGTCAGCCCATGTGCCAACAGACACCTCCCAGCTCTGGCTCTCACCTCAGTCTTATTCTCCGTTGGGTGCTTCAGCCTCTTAGTATGGTTTGTGCCACTGCCCAGCAGTGCCCGCTGTTCAGCGGGGAGGCCGGGTTGTGAGGAGTCAGGGAAATCATCCCCTAAGGGTCCAGCCTCTGTGATGGTCTTCAGCTCAGATGCCAATGAACTTGTCCTTTGCTCAGGAATTCGAGCCACACGGAACCTGTGAGGAATTGGTGATAGTGGTAGGAGTCTTCGAGTCGGCACCAACTCATAAAAGACCCCATGTACAACAGAACAAAGCACTGCCCAGTCCTGTGCCAGCCCCACAATCCTTGCTATACCTGAGCCCATCGTTGCAGCCACTGTGTCAATCCGTCTTATTGAGGCCTTACCCCTTTTTCACTGACCCTCCACTTTACCAAGCCTGATATCCTTCTTCTGGGAATGGTCCCTTCTGTGAGAGGTGGTTCAATCCCCCGTTAGAGGTAGGGGCCACGAGGCACAGCGAGTTCATGGATCAAACTCCAAACCTGAGCCCTTCCCAGTACCCTCCCAACTGCAGATGAGGGGTTCATTTTGTTGCCTGTACCCAGCCTCTGAGCCCCCACTCCCTAGATAGCAAGCAGACTGTCCCTTGTCCTAAGGGGCACCAGGTGCAATAGGAATCAAGACCCTGCCTGCTTGGGGGCCCAAGAGCTCCATATGAGACAGAACACAGGTGGGAGGTCCAGACTTCTCTCTGGCCACCCCCACTGCTCAGACAGGCACACTGAGGCCCAGGAAGGAGGCGGTCCACCAATGAGCAGGGTGTTCAGGGCTTGACCCAGGGCCTTGCCTCCCCACCCAGCTGTCAGATCTTTCCCTGCCCTGCAGTTTCTGCACCTGCCTCACCTGCCCACGGACAGGATGGTGATCTCCCCCTGGCGTCCTGCCTTGGCCCCAGCCTTGGGAACCCGGGCTGAGCCAGGCAGGAAGCTGGGAGTAGGAGTGGTGGCTGCTGCAGCCTCGGGGGACAGCAGCACCTCAGGCCACTTCTTCTGGCTACATCGGGAGCAGCAAGGGCCAGAGAGTGAGGCCAGGCCCTGCACAGTGTGGAGATGGTGACGATGTGGGCAGATGTGTGGCATGCTGGAGGAGCCTGGTGGCAGCCTGCAAAGAAAACAAATGGGAGCAGTCACCAAGGCAGGTCAAGTCCAGGAGGTGGAGGACGGGAATGAGGGTGACAGGAGAAGGAGAACACTCAGGTGGTGAATCCTCAGGAGGCAGGCTGATCACCTGTGGGTTTGGGCCCCCCTGCTGCTCACCTGGGCACAGGCCTGAGGTTTGTCTGCACCAGCTGTTTGCTGTGGTACTCTTTCAGCAGCTCCTCCAGGGCCGCCGCATTCTCTGTGGGCAGCTGCAGTCAGAACCCACCTCTGGGCCACGAGGGGCACTGTCCCCCACCCCCAGTGGACTTCCCCCTGCCTACTCCCTGCCACCCCCTTGACCTGGGCTGTCTGCCTTTCCTCTACCCTCATCAGGCAAGAACAGGAGGAAAAGGGCCTGTACTGTCATCTGTACTGCGTCAGACAGCATGCAAAACCAAAAACCAAACTCACTGCTGTGGAGTCAGATCTGACTCATAGCGACCCCTCCTTGGGTTTCCGAGGCGATATCACTACGGAAGTAGATTGCCCAATCTTCCTTCCCAGGAGTGGCTGGTGGGCTTGAACTGCCAGCCTTCTGGTTAGCAGTCAAATGCCTTAGGCCCTAAGCTACCAGAGCAGGGCTGACTCTGACCCCTGCCCTGCGCGCTCTGGGAGACTATCCTCTCCTGGGCATTGTGGCAGGGCAGACCACCTCCTCACCTTTCTTTTCTGTGATCAGGCGAACAAGGACTCCAATGGTGTCTTCGTTGGCGTCCTCGGCCCGGTAGGCGGGGTTGTTCCCTGAGGAAGAGAATAGGACCGTGATCCCGGAAGTTTGCGGGGGCGAGGGAGCTGCTATGGGCTCAGGAGCTATGCCAGGATCTGCCAGCAGAGGGCGCCCCAGACCGTCTAAGGCTCAGCAGCAGGGCCCCGCGTGAGTGTGTGTACCTGTGTGTTTAGAGACAGAGGTCCCCAAAGCTCCGCATGTCTGGTACTCTAGGCCTCCGCCTCACCTCAGAGAAGCTCATTACTATCACCTTTATCACTCAGCATTGCAGCTTCCTGTACCCAATAACCCCAGATGCTTGGAGCTTTCAGAGGCCATCAGAACTCCTGGTCTCTGCCGAGGGGGCGGGACTTCAGCCTCTTCTGGATCTGCCTTCTGCCTTCCTCAGCCTCAGGGAGCTGTGGACTGCCTCCCTGCCCAGAAGCCCCAACATCTCCAGCACACACAGCCATTCTAGGTCTAATACCTCCCTGCACACCACCCTGTTTATGGAACTGAGGGCTCTTGGTCATCTTTGGGCCAAAACCTCAAGGGTATGAGATTGGGGCCACAGTGATCAATCCTGGAGCCAGAAGCCAAAAGCACTCCCAGGACTTGCAACCAGACAGCCCCTAGCAGTTAAAGGAAGTCATTACATTAGGAAAACAAGTGCTGTCCCAGGTGCAATGACCCTGAGTCGCTATCTTTCTGCCTGTCTGTGTAGAGCTCCTGTCCCCTCCAGACCAGCTGAGAGGGGCTTGGGCCAGCCCCCAAGCATTCTGAGACACTGGCCTGTGAGACTCCATTTCAATCTTGACTGGCCCACAGGCTGCCCAGGACAGTGCATGTGCGTGTAGTACATACTGATCTGTGGGGAGAAGGGAGCAGGGTCCTAGGATGGGAGGAAGGAATACATCTCTCCCTCTGGCTCCAAGGCTTGTATAACTCAAACCCACCCTGGAGCTGAAACTTGAGCCCCTCGTGGTGCCTGTCCTGGACAGCTGCCCATGCCAGACCTCCTGACTCCAGGAATTCCTCCTGCTCCAGACCAGCGGTCAGAGGTCACTTTGAGTACCAAGGGGGCAGTCCAACCTTTGAGGTACAGCTGGAGCCCATCCCAGGGGGGAATCCTGCTGAAGCCACTTGAGCAGCTGTTCTGCCTCTGCTCTGCCCCTGCCACACTTCAGACCACCTTGCCCTTTGTAGTTTGCAGCTGTCACCTCTGTGGCCGCACGTATAGTGCCTCCAGGTTCCCTCTGGCAGCCCCCAAGCTGACCACACTCTTTGGTCTCCCCACCCTGACCCCAGGCTGGGCCTCACCGCTGCTTCCACCTCCGGGGTCAGGCCCGACCTCCTTGTGGGCCGTGCAGTGGTAGCCCTTCCGCTTGAGCAGGTTACACACCAGGATGCCCAGCAGCCCCATGAGGCAGAAGACAGGGACAATGGCGATGACTGCATACTGCGCAGCCGTCTCCTCGGGGCTGCCTGCCCTCGTGCTGTTCCCAGGCTGCCGGGTCTCCCCACTGCTGCCTGCACCTGCTGATGCCTCCACGCCACGCCGGACCCGGTGTCGCCACACTGAGCACCACGGAGGATGGAGGAAAGGAAAAGAGGCAGACACAAGGAACAAGAAAGACAGATAGAGGATGTGTGTAGGTAGTGGGGAGGACTGAGGTGTCCAGAGCAGCCCACTCCCAGCCACACTCGGGAAGCAAAGGCCAGTTCACTCCTTCCTCCTCCCTTTGACCATCTGTTCTGTCAGCCCGAGCACGGCCTCTGTCTTGGCTCTTACTGAAACTTCTTCTGGACAGCCAGACCCTTGGCTCTCTGTCCACCCGTTACCCTGGGGACAGAGGGGTGAACAGAGGGCACACATGGCACATGCATGGGCATAGGGACCCATGAGGGGACCTCGTGACTTGATCCATGGATTAGTTCCCTCAGAAGGTGACTGACTCAGTGAGTGAGAGGTGTGTGTACATGTGCAAGTGTGTATATATGTGCATAAGTGTGTGTGAGTGCATGTATGTGTGTGTATGTTCCTATATGCTCAAGTGCATATGTGCACAAGTGTGTGCATGTACATACGTGCATGGGTGTGAGGGCATATGTGTGAGAGTGTATGAAGCACGTGTGCTCAGTCAGCTCCATGGGGCTCTGGGGGTTGGGGGAAGGGGGCTGGTCAGGATGTGAGCCCATCAGCCCCTAATACCCAGCCTCTGCTCCTGTGCTATGCAGGTCCAGCTGTGGCTGCACTTGTTGGGTGGTCTCTACCCCTTAGAAACAAGCTGGGAAGACACACAGAGCCAGTGGCTGCCCGGGTGAGGACCTCTCTGTCCACAGAGGAGCACTGCAGGGGCTCCTGGGCTCAAGCTTGCTCCTCCCACACACTCCACCCCACAAGTCCTGGCCCCAAACTTTCACTTACCATCACAGCCATGAGTACCCAGAGGCGCCCAGGAACAGGGCTGACATGGAACATGGGGGCCCCCCTCAGGGGCAAACCACCTGGAGGGAGGAAAGACATTACCGGTTCCCCAAAATCATCCTTGAGAGAGGCTGGACCCAGGCACCCTGCTTGCTGCTGACCCATCCCAGTTCACAATGGGGAGACTGAGACCTGCTCAGGGTGGAGGTGAGCCAAAGCTCTGGTCACACAGCCATGAGCCCCACACCCACACCCCACCCATGGCTCACCCAGGCCAGCAGCCTCCACACAGTGTATCTCGAGTCGCCGAGCCCACCTGGGCCTCCAGCCTCCCTCGAGGGCTGCAGCTGGCGTGGGGTTGGCAGGGGCTGGGGCCCCATGAGGCTGAGAAGGTGCCTGGGGGGCAGGACCTGCACAACTCACCCTGCCTCAGGTCCTGTGGAAGGGAAAATGTGAGAACAAAACCAGGAGCCAGGGCTGAGGTCACTAGGGAAGCCGGGCCTGGGGACTCCACTCCTTGTCCCCAACAGCCTTCATAGGACTGAGCAGATGGGCAGGGCAATGCTCACCAGACTAGGCTCCTCCCCAGGTGGGCACTGCCAAGGTGTTATTGATGCGGGAGTGGCTGGAGACCAGGGCAGCAGCTGGAAGAACGGTGGGCAGGAGTTCACTCAGGGAGGCATCACTGGGGTGTGGGGTCTCTGGGGTCATCCATCCACTACCCACTTCTTTAAGGCCTCAGAGGCGGGGACCACTGACCACACAGGGCCACGCCATCCAGGCTCCAGGGACACTCTTCTAACCCAGTCCCTCTTGCTGTGTGTAAAACCTGTCCTGCCCTAGGCCTGTTGCATTTCCATCCATACGGGCATGGAGAGAAACACATCTGCTTCTGGAAAGTGCTGGAAAGCCCCAGACAGAGTTAGATCAGGATCTCAAACTCTTGGGTCTCTGAGTTACAACCTTTCTGGCTAGCCAGGAGGATGAGGAGGAAATACTTCCGAATTCTTCTGTCAGGTTCCACCCCCATCCTGCTGCCTTGGTCCCTTCCCACCCCCATCACAGCTGGGCATTTTGTTAACTGGCTTCTGCTTGTCTTCCCAAGGCCAAGGCTGTAGCTGATGCTTCCTACTCTGGTCCCTCCGCGTCTCCAGAATCACATCCTTCTCCATGACCTCCCACCATGCAACGCTACCCTGGTCACACCCTTGCACCCAAACAGGGTGGGATCCATCCCAAAAGAATGTGTCCCCCTTACCCCCAGCCATCCCACTGGGATGGGCGCTCCCTCTGTCTCCCATTCTCAGGTGTAACCTGTCTCCCTGAATGCTTTCTGCTGTGGGGAGACTCCTGTCTGCTGGTTTGGCTGGTGCTGGCTGGGGGGCAGGGAGCACAGAGCAGTGCCAGCCACTCTTGAGGTTCAGAGGCAATGTCACACAAGAGGCCCTGGGGACCTCCACTGGCGCCAGACCAGGCTCCGAGCACCTACTGGGCCCTGGAGGCTTCTTGTACCAGCACAGCTCTCGGCCAAGCCAGAGGCCACGTCTTGCTCCCCCAGGGCTTCCATCATCGCAGCAGAGAAATGGACCCCAGACCAGACTCTAAGCTATTGCCCGAGGCTCCAAGTCTATAATCTGGAGTCCCATAAGGCACTGGGCAGTTGGCCAGTCTCTGATTCTGAGATCTGGACTCTGGGGTCCCAGCATCGCAGGGGCTGAGGTTGTCAGGCTCCAAATCCCAGGCCGTTTCTTGCCAGTTTCCTCTCTCTTGGCCTACCCTCCCTGCTGCTCTGTTCCCACGCCCCCCAGCAGGCATCTTGCCCTCAGCTATGCTGGCCCATCTACAAATGCCAGCAAGTCCTGCCTTCTCCCTCCCTGCAGGATGGACCAGGAAGGCTTCTAAGGATTTGATCACCTCAGATTCTTCAAAGGAAGAGCTGACTACCCAGCCCCCACCCTGCCCTGGGGTTCCTGTCTGAAGGGCTCCCCATGGTCCCATCCCAAGCTCACCACAAGGAAGCAGGGCAGGGACCAGTGCAGTGGGCTCAGCTTCATCCTCAGGGCCGGGGCAGGCCGGTCACCAGCCTGGAGCAGATGGAGGGAGGCTCAGTGGGGGGCTGCTGTCCTCCCAGCACAGCACTCAGGCCAACAGGATTGGATAGGAGCGTTCAGGGTGCTGCAGGGGCAGGCTGAGCACCGGGCAGCTTGGCCTACATCACCTGAAGTCTGAGTAGAGTTGGGGGTACCCTGTGAGAGAACAGGGAGGGGAGGCAGAGGCTCTGCCAGGCTTGGGAGGCTTCCTGGAGGAGGAAGGGCTTCTTCTTTCATAAACAGCCAAGTAGCCTGGACTAACCAGGGAAGCCTGTGAGGGAGGAAGCCTGAGGTGGCCCTTGGGGAAAAGGAAGACTGAGGGGGCTGGCACCCTCTTGCTTAAGTCTCTCCACCCTCATCTCCAACTTTCCAGACTTCTGCCACCTCGAACTGCTTACAAGTCCCCAAACACGCCAGCTCTCTCATGTTCTCTGTCCTTGCTCTTGCCATTTCTACTCCAAGGAAGCCTCTCCTTCACTCTTTGATTCCCAATGCAAAGACCTCTTTTTCTAGAAGTTTCCTTTGACTTCCCCTTTCCCCAAAGCTGGGTCAGGGCTTTCTCTAGCCCCAGAGCTCCTGTGTGAAGGAGTTCTGAAGGACTCATACTCGTAGTTCTTCCATGTAGCCATGGCCCACTGTCCACCCCTGACTGACTCCCCACAGAGGGCTCTGTCCCAGTGCCAAGCAAGGGCTGGGGCCTGGCAGACCTGTGGGGATGGGGGAGGCCATGGTAGCCAGCACTCAGCCTCTAGTCACCTCTTGGGCACCTACTGTGTGCAGAGCACCTACCGTGTGCAGAGCACCTACTATATACCAAGCACTGCACACATACTCCACCACCACTACCAGGGGAACAGGTGTGACGGGCCACATAAGATCTTGTCCTGGGGAACTCACATTCCAGACCCAGAAGGTGAAATGCATGAAGAAAAACAAACAAATCATGTGTGAACACTGAATGATGGTGAGGGAAGGACTCGGAGATATTTCAGTGGTCCTTCCCACAGCCCACAGGCTTGAGGTGAGACCCCTTGCCTCCAACCTTTCCTCCCTAAGTCTCCAGCCTGCTCTTTGGAGCCAGTGGTTGAAACAGCAAGAAGAAGGACATAAATTAGACGACAAATTGGATTGTGACAAACTAGGAGTCTTGTATTTGCAAGACGCCTAGCTGCAGGGTCAGGTGGGTGAGGGAAGCCGCATTTGTCCAGCATCAGCAACGCAGCCTCTGAGCCCTGAGGGGCAGTGTCCCCATTTCCCATGCCTCAAAACAGGAAGCAGGGCCCAGGGGCCTCTGGCAGGCTGAGGAGACCCTGTCTGTAACCCAAACTGTCTGATGCCAAGCCTCTGGGACAGCCAGGCCCGAAGTGGATCCCAGATCACATGAGGGCCCCTTGCCTGTGGGCATCTGAGCATCCTAGCTGGTAAAGGAGCGGAGGAAACTGATCCGCAGAACTGGCTGCCCGGCCCTGCACAGACCTTTCAGGGGCCAAGGGTTTGTGTTACGTCCCAGGAGGGAAGAGGGGAGGGACAGCTGTCACATCATCTTCGGGACTCTCCAGGTCACTGGCATGGGCTCTGGGCCCCAGGCCAGCTCAGGGGAAAACCAGGGACAGGAAAAGGCCAGCCAGAGAGCAAGGTGAAGGCCACACCCAGCAGTCAGCACCCAGCAAATGGCACCCCCTTGTCCCTCCTCAGGAGCTCTGGTAGCATAGTGCCTAAGGCACCTGACTGCTAACCAGAAGGCTGGCAGTTCAAACTCACCAGCCACTCCTTAGAAGGAAGGTTTGGCAATCTACTTCCATCGTGATACAGCCTCAGAAACCCAAGGGGGGCGGTTGCTATGAGTTGGATCCGACTCTATGGCAATGAGTTTGAGCTGTTCCTCCCCAGATCTGGTCACCAACCTTCCTTTCCAGTTTCTGCCCCAAAAGTGCCATACCCTTGGCCCACTTCCCCCTCAAGCCCATCTCCCCATGACCCCCTCCCTGCTTTCCTAGGTTCCCAACCCACAGACCATGAGCTCTAGGCCCTTGGGCTGTCCCCACAGTCCTGCCCAGCACTCCTACATGTCTGTGGTGGGCCCAAAGGTGCGGGGAAGGGAGGGTGAAAAGTGAGGGGTCAAGAAAGCACAGAAGAGAGCCCCCATCCCACCGTAGACCCTGGTTGGCACCTGCTCAGTGACCTGAGTCTGCAGGGGGCACTGTGTGCTGCTCCCTCTGGGCAGAGGAAGACCCTGTAACCTGGAGACTTTAGGGAGGAAAATGGGGCCCAAAGGCTCAGACACAGTGCCAGCGGGGCCCACTCACAGACATTCACTGCTGAGGGCCCAGCCGCCTTCTAATTAAGCGCCTTCTAATTACCCCAAACTGGCACTTACTCTAGTCTGGCTGCCTGAGTCTCTGTTTTCAGCAGGTTCCCTCAGATGGGCCAGCCTGGCTGCCTTAGAAACGCTATCTTCACACATGCTACTCTGGCCCCTCACATGCACACCCCTTCCCACTAAGCCTGTGGCGCCCAATCCCTTAGCCCTGGAACGGTGACCTAAAAGCAAGTTCACTTAGAGGCCCCTTGGCCTGCGTGGGTGGCTATGAAGGCCCCTCTGCCTTGTCCTGAAGGCTGAGTAGTCAGTGACCATCCAAAGCCAAGCATCTCCTGAGGGCTTCCTGGAGAAGGGTTCAGAGATGGGCCCGCAGAGATTCAGGAAAGCCCGCTCAGCCTGCAGCTGGGAGAGTGCTCCCCTCTGACTGGGGAGTCCTAGGGTGGACCTAGGACTTTACCAGTAGTGCCGTCTAGCCCAGGGGAGTTCCAGCAGAGAAGAAAGTTAGCTTAGAGGCCATTCCTCCCCAGGTGTCCCAACTTGGAACCCCATCCCCACTGCCAGCGATTCCCTGTGGGACCAAAGCCCACTGCTTCACCATATTGGGTTTCAGTGTCCTCATCTGCAAAATGGGATGCTTATCTCCCATGACAAGGCTGTCATGAGGTGCTGATGAGGTAATGAGTCTCAAGTAGGTTGTGTGATACTCCTCCCTCTTTTTTTCCCCTCTCAGGAGCTCTGGTGGTGTAGTGCCTAAGGCATGTGACTGCTAACCAGAAGGCTGGCAGTTCAAACCCACCAGCCACTCCCCAGAAGGAAGGTTAGGCAGTCTATTTCTGTAGTGATACTATCTTGGAAACCCAAGGAGGGGTCCCTATGAGTTGGCTCCGACTCCATGCCAGTGAGTTTGGTTGCTTTGTTTTTTCCTTCTGTACCTCTTGTCCTAGTTTGTAATTAAATACTTTGTTTGCTTACTCATTTATTGCTTATTCCCCATCACATAGTAGCAAGGGCAGGGGTCTGTTTTATCTACCACAAAACCCCCACACCCAGCCTAGTGTCTGGGGCCCCAGCCCTGGCACCGCCCCCCAAACAAAACAGGCTCCTTGAAGTGGGGGGAGGGTTTCCTCAGACTTGGCCAGCCCCCATCCTCCAAAAAAAAAAAAAAAATGCCAACACAATTAGAGTAAGAAATTCCCTGGAAAAAAGCCAACTAGCAAACCATGACCCTGGTCCCCAAAGAGAGGTGGAAGTCCCGGAGTAGGAACCCCAGGGAGGTGTAGCCTCTGAGGCTTAAAGAAAGAGGAAGCCAGCCACTCCTCCCGCCCATTCCACCAGCAACTTCCCCTTTCCCAGAATCAAGCTGGGGTCACTCGAGCGCCTGTCACATTTCCCTCCCCCAGCCTGGGCTCCTCCTCTCCTCCCATGCACTCCCAGTCCTGGTCCTGCTTCTCCAGAAAAGGCTTCCATCGTCAGCTCTACTGAACCTCTACCCTGAAGATCACCTCGCTCTGCCCCCCTGCAGGGCCAAGGTGTCCTGACATGGAGGTCTGGCCTTGCTTGGCCCAGACCAGCACACTCAGGTAGTGTCCTGCCATGCCCCGGCCAACCGCCCCCCCGACACACACTCCAGCCACCTGAGGTGCTTTGGGGGGGGATTACCCTCAGACACAGTTGCCGCTCACCCCAGTACTTGAACTTGCTGTATCCTCTGCCTTGAAGCCCCTCCCATCACCTGGCCAACACTTCCTCCTCTTCCTTCCTAGCTCAGCTCAAAGTCACTTCCTCCTGGAAGCCCCTTCCCCCAGCCACTTCCCGTTCAGTTCAGCATCAATCGCCCTCCCTGCGGGTGATGATCCTGTTTACTGGCCCCTTCCCCACCAACATGCTGCCCTCCATGCCCAGTGCTAAGCACAGGGCCCCCCCTGGTACCTGGTACGTAGACAGGTGCTGAACTGAATGCGGGGCTGGGAGGGTAGGGATGTGGAAAGGCACTCTCAGTAGAGGGTAGCACCTATGCCAAAGGAGGGAGGGTTGGAGAGCAGGGTGGTTAAGGAGGCCAGAGCTTGAGGTTAGGTGGGAGTGGGTTTGAACTGGGATATGAACCCCTGGGCTCACTGTGGGATATACACTGTGGCTGACTAGTGCTCTGGTCAGCCT